TACGCCCTCTTCCCCTGGCACATGTGATGGTCAAATAAATGCCCGGTGGGTTGTTGAAGTTTCCAATTGATCAGTGAACAGTTGTCTCGATCAACGTCAGTTTCCATGGCCAGATAAACAACTCTTTCTAATTTCCAAAATTTCCGGTCCAGATTTTTTTCTGGACGGCTGTTTAGGGGAAGTATGATTATGCAAATCACAGGTGTCATGTGAAGCCTTGTTCAGAAGACTATTTAGTCATGCAGTTGAAATAAAAAGTGGAAAATTGGGTATTCATGCAAACGGTGAATACCAGCCTTGCCACTACACTGACTGGCACTCATTTCTTGTGAATGGTAACCTGCGACCAGGTGTCCTCCTTCCTTGTTTCGATAGTATTTTGCGGAAATATTTTTTTTGGCGATTCGCAAAAAAGACGATACCGTGCTTACTAGGAATTAATGTTCGCGGTTTTAGAAAGTTCAACAAGGTGTAAATGTAATTTTGTAATCAAAATACATATACTGTGCCATGCCGCAATCATTGCAATCAATATATAGTTTCGACTGTGAAGTAATTTTTTGCATATGAAAATTTAGCCCTTTTTTAAGCTGTAGCGTTTTTGTGGATTGTGAAATAAAATTAACAATGGTGTCCCACCGAATCTGGCATATATACACTCCACCTCTTTTTCAACATGTTTTTGTTAGAAACAGTTGTAATAACGATGACGACGACGACGACGATGATGATGATGATCATGATGATGATGATGATGATGATGATGATGATGATGATATAAATGGTTTTGTAATGATTATGATGATAATGATAATAAAAATAATAAAAATAATAATAATCTTTATTTCTTAAGATAAAATCACATATCCTAAGTTACAATATAAACTCAAAAAACTATTTACATATCATATCTAAAAATTATTCTGTTACTAAAAACGTTCTTAAACCTGTCAGTGTAGATTCTAGGGACAGAGACTGACGTATTTCTAAGATTGTACCTCATGTTCTTTTCCTTAGGTAAAAACTGGAAGAACGGGCATTCGGGGTCATTCGATCTTTTTTTGTAGAGTGTCTTGTCCGCCTTCTCTAGCAAATCCCTGATATTTACATTCTTGGACATAAACTTTCTTTTCATACACCGGTCTAAAAAATTCTGTATTACAGAAAGGTCGGAATCTGAGGCACCATAAACCGGCAGAGCGTAAGAAAAATTTGGTAAAACTATTGCGTTAAAAAGGTGATCTACTTCCTCCTGGGACATTCCTTCCTTACGTAAAGATCCTAATACGAATAATGACTTGTTCGCCTTAATTACCTTCGCGCGCACGTGACTACTGTATTTACAATTTGATGATGATGATGATGACGATGACAGTGATAATGGTGAAGATGTTGATGCGATAATAATAAAGATGGTACTGATGGTGATGCTTCTGCTTTTGCTGCAGCTGCCGCTGTTGATTATGATGATGATAATGATAAGAGGGTGTTGATGATAATTATGATGACGATGATGATAAGGGAGGATGATAATAGTGATGGATGATAATGTCAGCGTGCGGAAGGCTCGGGATAGTGTTGACTTCAAGGGTTTGTATGGGAGATCGAGGTTGCCCCTAATGGGCTTCTGATAAGGTATTTTTCGCAAGATTGACTACTAATATCATAACGATCATAAAGGTGGACTTAGTTGACCGTGTACTCGCCCTTGCCTCAAAACGTTGCTTTCTGTGTTCGGCCGTGTATAGTCATGGGGTAGTGGAGACAAAACGGCCATTTTTAGCTTCATTTAGATTAGAGGCAAACGTAAAACTTGCGTCCATTTCTTAATCCAAAATGATGGTGTTGAAATGATCATAGATCGTTAAAGCATCATTCTGATAATTAGCAAGTGGATCCTCATTGCTGAGAGGTAAACTTGCTACCAGGCTTCAAGTCTCCCCGGGGGTACTCCTGAAAATTCTTGGTGGGGTTGTTCTCAAAATCCTAACCCTATTTTGGACCAAAAAATTTGAGACAGCAGTGACTATCGCTTTTGTCCATCTCAGTTTATCCAATAGCCAGGGAAAAGCGCAATGGGGACGAGGGTGAGATGGAGGGTATCTCGAGACATCAGAGAATCCATCAGTCCCATGTTTATCAGTTATCCTCATTGATAAAAAAAAATAAAAAATAAAAAAAAAAAACCGACAGAAAAAGTACGTGTCTTAGGCAAAAAATAAGAAAACAAAGTCTTGTTGTTCACCCTATATTCATGCGATTTAGGTAAGGGCGCGTAAGTGTGGGGATATAGGGATAATTAGCGCACACGGATTTACACTGTCCTTCCCTCGCGCGGACCTGTTCAACATTGATCCAATTCTGCCACGCAAATAATTATTATAAAAACAACTGAATGTACAAACTGGTCAAGAACAACTCCTGTCCGGCATCAAGAATGACCCCATCTGTCTATAAAAATCAGTTCTCTCAGCGTTGTGATAAATATCGCTTGCAAATTAACTCCTGTGCTACTTTACCTCTCGAATCTAGAAATAAATGTTTCACTAATGTATTCAATATACTTGATGTACCTGCCATTAATCTTTTTTTTTTTTAACTTGGAAGGCAGAATTTTCAAACAATTTCTTATTTCATGTTTTACTTGACGTTAGAATTGTTTTTAAAAAAATCTGTGCTTCAAAAGTATTGCGTGACGGTTATGGAAATTTGATACGATCAGGTGAACCCCAGGTCAGTGTTACTTGAGTTGACCTTATCTTTTGGTGAGGGAAAACGAAGACTAAATCTAAATCATTTGGGGAAATTCCTCCAGATAATTAGAGCAGTTTCACTTCAAAATAGTGAGAAGCAATGTGAAACGTCTGGCAGAATTTGAAGCAAGTGAGGAAAATGCGGTTCGTGTACGTGATAGTGGTACAACACCTCTACATAACTTTAGATGGATTTGGGCTCCTGGGTTTGTATTAAATTTCGGAGCTTTTTAGCGCTTTTGTTCGTTTACGTACATTGAAACTGAATTTCAGCATGTTCTGTCACTTTCTGTCTTTATAGATGCCGAATAATATTTGCTTAATTTGATTTAACTGCGCGCTCACGTACAAGTTATTGCTTTTTGTAACAAGGCGCCATTTGTAATTTGCTGCAACTCAACTGCTGTTTAAACTCAGAAGAGTGAAGATCCCCGAGAAATAAGACAATATGTACAAAGAACCATCCGTCCAGGGTACGTGAATGAAGTTTGGCTAATTTTGAGACACTACCACATGTATTTTTGTTGAGTTGTTCG